AGAAATATTTGTTCGCACAATCCACAATGCGGCAAAATTTTCCCCCGCAAACATTTCTTCACCGCAATATTTTTGCCATGCAGAATTTGAAATCGCACCAAACCGAGGTTGCAACAACAACAATGGCGTCAAGTCGTAGTGAACGTCTGGCTACTGGGGAGCCATTATCAATTTGGCATCGCAGATGGCGTCGCAGACATGGTGTGTTCTGCTAGTGCCTGGAGTGCAGTATTGTATGATCCAGTGCTGGAAACGCTGTTGGCAAGTAACAGATTGAGGCAGGAAGTAAGTTGTGCTGCAGAGTGTTTGCTGGGGAGCCTTGTGCTCAATAGAAACGTTTGATACGCTGCAAAGAGTGCCGCGCTTAGGAGCTGCCACAATAAAATGCCATTGGGCGCTCAAGGTGTCTTGGGAGAGCTGTTGATAACCTGAGGAAGAAAATCCGGGTGGAAACATTTCCGCACGGTGGTTCGAGCACGAACTTGACAAAAAAACTCCCGCTCCAAACTTTCTCAGAATGCGGCATGATACAGCATGTTGAGATATGCATACTTTGTACAGATAAAAGTTCACGGGAGAAAAATTTTCGCTCATTTTGCGGTCGAGCCAGTCTGCAAAAATATTTGAGCGAGAACTTTTTGGCCCCGCGAACTTTTTTCGCCCGTGAGCTTTTTGGCCCCCCTCAGGGGTGGGTCGGGCGCTGGGCTTTTGCTTTTGCGCTGCGGCGTGTGCCCCCCTCCCTAGCAGCGAAGGCCCCCTGAGCTGGGCAGCACATCGTTCGTAGGGCAGTGGCAATCGGCTGGCAGACTCTCCACGGAGCCCACAGGTTGTTGGGCGCATTTCGAGGGCACAGGAGCAGTGTGACTTGCAAAGCAGTCGACGACCGAATTTGCGCCAGCATCAAGTCTGTCGCACGCGCAGGGAGAGCGCCCTGGGGACGGCCCACAGAGTGGTTCTGTAGGATCTTGCCAAGTGGAGGGGTCCCCAAATTCTCCCCGATTGCACAGGCCGGGGCCATCTCAAGGCAGCTCGGGCGGCATGATTGTGCCCCCGCGAGGCGCCCATCTTGTGGGGGGTCCGGTCCCATTCGTCTAAGGACAACTTGTCTAAAGGACAACTGGTCTAAGGGCATTTGGTCTAAGGACAACTCGTCTAAAGAGTGATCCACCCTAAACGCGGCCACGGGGTGGTTGCGTACCAATGACACAAACTTCTCTGTTATGAATACCACTCGTTTCCAATGTCGTTGCGTGCGTTAGACGGGTTGTCTTTAGAGAGTTGAGTCAACTCGTCTAAGCAGCGCCCATCAAGTTCATTTAACCCACAATAACATTTCATTCCGTTTGTGGCGGGCTGCATTCCGAACTGGTTCCTGGGCGCGTTCCTGACAAGCGCACAGGGGACGGGACAGCGCGGGAGGGGGAGTGCCGGTCCAGGCACATGGCTGGCGGGTGTGGGGCGGTTTGGTGCAGCGGGGGCGTCGATTGGCAGCTATGGAAAGCGGAGATTCTACAGGGCGCGGAGGTGGGTCGACGGGAGAGGTGGCAGAGCGTCAGCGCCGATTGGCAGCGATGGAGCCAGCAGATCCGCCGAGGTGCGAAAATAGATCGACGAGAGCGGGTGGCGAAAGGGAGAGTCGACTGGCAGACATGGAGCACGGAGATTCTCCAATACGCGAAGGCGGATCGCCGGGAGAGGCAACCGAATGGCAGCGCCGATTGGCAGCCAGGCAGCAAGGCAGCAAGCAGATCCTCCGAGGCGAGAAGGTTGCTCGACGGGATAGGCAGGCCAACGCGACTCCATTCCACAATGGGAATTCATTCGCGGGCAAAGAGCTGAACCGCAATGCGGAAACAGTCGTTTTTGTTTTATCACCACAAGAGCATATAACGTACCTTTTCGGCGCAACAGCTTCAGCTGGAATGCAGATGCGAGTTGGTTTTTGGGCTTAGGGGAATGCACTGAACGGGTGAGGGCCCTTGGGTCACCGGCTGTAGGATATGAGCAAGTCAACTCAGGTCAACGGAATTTTAGACAAGTTGTCCATTAGACGTAATGTCCTTAGACCACTTGTCCGTTAGACGAGTTGTCTTTAGACGAAATGGCTTGCACCCCAAATGGCGAAATGGCCGGCACCCTCTTGTGGTGCATCTCACCTCTCACTGGCGCCCACTCGGGCCACCGGCAGGGCCCATCCCATGCCACCGCGGGCGGCGCCAATCCAGGCATCCCTCCCGGGTCTCACGGGCGGCCACTCGGGCAGGCGCAGCTGGTCGCCCAGGACGCCAAGAGACCCTCAGTTTGTTAGGCCTCGGAACGGGCTACAGACAAGGCGGGCACCCGCCGCGAGCCCACCTGCGAAGTTCGCGCAGCCAAAATGTTCGTGGGGAAAAAATTTTTGTGCACCGACGAGTGCACGAAAATATTTCTCCACAACATTTTTTCCCGCGAAATCAGCGAAATTTTTTCTCCGCGAAAACTTTTCGGTATACAGTATACGGTACTGGGTGGTTGATCGCCGACAGCAACGAAGAGCTGGGGGCGATCTCTCGCCAAGCATCGAATGCAGACACACACGACTTGCTGATTCCAGCAATGCGCTGCGCTCATGGCAAAACGTCTTAGTTTACACAGTCACCAAAATCAACAATAGGACAACATCTGCCTCCCCACACACCCGTCCCCACAGCCCTCCGATCTGGCCAGAGTGCTGGCCCACATTGCTACAACTGGCCGCGCGAATTCGCGTCAGCTTCAAGGCAGCCACAACCCTAGAACCTGCGGACGTGAAATTGCGTTGTTCGAAATCCCCCCGTGCATAGAGGACTTATAACAGCCGCCTCCCTTTCGTGACCTCCTGTACTTCCCTCGACCATGATAGCACCTATTGATGACGTCCTTTCCCTATTCAAAGTACTCCCTACACTCCTCCCAAAATCTCTTCCATCCCCTTGACACAGCAGACGCGCCCGCCAGGACCATCGTTGCTGTGTCTCTACCACACGTTCCTTTGCCCCATTAGTGTTCCATCGCAAGTGGTTTGATGTCAGCATCGCCTTTTCGCGTTGCCAATCGACTGACCCACCATTTTGTGACATTGCACTAGCCGGTCGATTTCCTTCAAGGTGCAATAATTCGCAAGGCCAGACCGCAATCGTCTTTGCTGCCCACTATGGTACCAAATATTTGAAATGACTGTCAACAGCCCTTGCCCCAAACCCAGAAGCACGCGGGCCCCCAACCGAATGAAATCCCCACAGTTCGCAAAGGCTCAACTTGCCACGGTGTGCGCGAAAGAATTCAAACCAAAATTGACGCCACACACTCCGGCACTTCCCCATCCCCAAAGCACACTCGACGGTGAAGCACCGAGACAAACAATACAATGGGAAAGCTGCCGCCAGGGTTGGTAGAGACCTCGGCCCCAGCAACGTCTAAAGGTGTGCCTTACTCCCAGCGCTCCCCAACACGTCATAATCGTCATGTGAGCCACCACGTGCGTGTCACAAGAACCCTGCGGCGCAACTTGCCTGGGTGGCCCTTAAGATGGGCAGCACAGGCTGCCACATAGCATCATCTGGATTTGAAAATGCCTGGCTCGACATTCAGGGTCCAAACAGGTGACAATTGCACCTTCCACAAAACTGCCTCCCTTCATTTTGAAGGCTTTGGTGCACGAGACACACTCAGCACAGTGGCAACCAGGCATATCTTTTCCTGCGTCCACAGCACCAACGATTTCACAACCCTAATTCTTCCCTTCCTCCATACCAATGCCAGCACAGGCGCATTCCCCCAGGCGCATATTGAAGAGTCGTCGCCATGATTGCAGGCACCACAAAAGACACAACCAAACATAATGCAAAAAATAAAAACTCCTTTGGGCTCAGAACGGTTGTAGCACATGACCAGGAAGCAAGCCTCTTGCTGCAGCTCCGATTAAGGTGCATCGGGAGCTTGCAAAGAACCGCTCTTGCAGGTTGACTCCCGTTCAGAGCCTCAGCGACCAAGACTGTCTCCGATTCCCTTTTCAATTGCAGCGTGGTCCATGGTTTGTCAACTCTTACAAGAAGGGTTGTCGCGCCATGCCTTTGAACCATTCAGGAAGTTCCCAAAGTCAGTGTCCGCGCCCATGTGTGCAGTCCGTCAGATTTGCAAATACAGAGATGCGTCCAGGTTCGTCTGCCTTCCAGATAATGGCCTGCTGTGTGTGGGAGGCAGGGCATCTCATGGCCACAGGATGAGGCGAGCACCCTCCTTTCCACCATGTCACCACAAGTGCACTATTCGATGTGAGTTGAGTTCCTGACGAGTTCACAGCCACCGCCAACCTGCCATCACGCCGACTCGCGCAGGTCAGCTGCTGGCCGCCAACAGCGCCTCCATGGACTCCTATTTGTAACGAACGCGGTCGCCTCTCAATAGAAACTACGAGCTAGGCATAAACACAGTGTGTCCACGCCGGCCTAATGATAGAACCAATTCTCTCAAGTCGCCCCTTCTGGAAAGGCCCATGACTTGTGACGTGCTCCTTCCTACGACTACCTCCTTTCCTTGTGTTGTAAAATTTCGTGATGGTGATGACGATCCTTTCCATTTGCCGCTCTCCTCCCAGCACATCCAATCTAACTCCGTTGGGCAAACCGCAGATGCAGGGTCCACTGCCTTTCATAATACCGCATGATTGGCAAACCATATTGCACCCCCTCCACGCTTGACCACCGCCCGCAATTGGCGGCGGTAACCGCGCCCCACAAAACCATGGCAGCCATCTTTGCGACCCAAACGCCACTTGTTGCAATAAACACCCTTGTAGACCGAAGCGTCGCAAGCAGGTGCCATAAAGTACTACAATTGCCAGTATTTCTTAGAACAGGGTTAATGATCGCCTCCCAGCCCCACCCACTGCCAATTCCTTCCACAATTTTCTTTCCGCTTTGTGGAACCTCGTTTGCCGGCCCCCCCTCTCCCCCCCCCTCCCCCCGTCCGCTACCACGCGCTCATCCCAGCCAGCACAACGGCGCAGCCGCGGCAAAGGCCCCTTCCCCGTTTTTTGTAGCCCCCAAAGGGACGTTACGTAATTCGCGGTCACACCGCGTCACGCCCAGCTTCTCCTGGCCGTCCGCCGGCTCAGCCCTGTGGGTTAACGGCCGCCGGCGCAAGCTCCTAACCCACGACTCCATGACGTCGGACAGCACTGTGGGCGCAAGGGGCCTGAAAGAAGAGCCCTCGTTCAGAATTTCAAATTGCAGGCCCTCCAGCGGGAGAATGCGGCACCCCAGGCGGTCGGGGGGCGTTCCATGGGGCCCGGTGGCCACCGCCTCTGACCCCCACTGACCCATGGGGACCTCTGTCGAACAGTCGCCGGTCTTTCGCGCTGTCGCGTCCAGGCGGCAGCCGGCGGCGGTGCCAGCGTTTGGCCTCCACGATGAGTAGCACAGCGATGCTGGAGAGGAGCACCTTGAAAGCGGAGGAAAAAAAATGCGTTCTCAAGCACCAAGAATACTTCTACACAGTGTGCATGCCTATTGCATATATCATGTTTACAGCACATGCCTGTGACACAAAAAATTTGTATAAGTAAAGAAAAATGACTAGGATTGTGAATGTGCCTGAATGCTATCCAGGCGAGAAGGCAGCTGTAGGCTCCCTGCAGCTGTTTCGATCAAGAATATCATTGGCAATTAATGCCGCCAAAAGTGCTGCGTCACAAGTGCGAACCGATCATTTATATGGTATGGGTCCAAAATTGTAACAAAACGACCTTCCAATGAATTCCAATCTGATCAAAGATGTAAAATGAAAGATTGGAGGCAGCCATCGACTCCATGTTCCGGACATGATAACACATGTCGTAAGCTTTTCAACCCAAAATGACGTCAAGCAACGATGGTGGGCAGAGCATCCACTACAGCTTCATCCAAGGCAGTCGCACACGCGGCAATCGAATCACACATGAATGAAATTCCAATTACAAATGAATGATTCCATGACCAGAACGTGAAAAATGACGTAATGCTCATGGTGCGCTTTGCCAAGGGGCTCACGTCATCAGGCAACATCAATTGTTCCGGCGGCTTCGCATTGCTTGTCATTGAAAAACATTATGCGAACAATCCAGGCCACGTCGTGTAGTTCACGAGCACAGCAGTTGATGTTCGAAACAGGAAAGCAAAAAGAAAGAAAACGTTGCGTGCTGGTGTGTACGTGGGTGCCCGCCATGCCACAGCTGTGGCATGTGGCATGTGGCGCCGCTGTGGCCGTCTGCAGACTGCCTGGCAGGCTCGTGCAAGAAACGAAGGCGCTACCTTCTGCACTAGTCTTGAGGTAAGGTGACGAATGTGACGCACTTTTAATCGTATCGTCCGTTGAGCGCAAGCCTATTGATCGGTCGCATTTTGGTCAATATGCAAAACAAGGATTTTTGCGACGTTATTTTACCGCAGAGCCAGTTTCCTTTTGCACAGCAAACATCTGTGCAAACGCATGTGCAACTTGTGTGCACAGCTGTTGAGCATTGATGGAATGAATCGCGCAGCCTTTGGGATCACGCCACACTGGCTTTTAGTCTTCCAACATATGCTGCAGATGCTCGCCTTACACGCAAATACATATTCACATCCTGAAGTGGCGTTTAAGCGGGGAAACACGGGCATTCTCACATACATATCGACCGCAGCCTGGCTTGCGATATTTTTTTGTCTCCCTCCTGTGGCCCTCTCCCTCGCAGCCATCGCCAGGGTTTCCCGGCATTTGCAAAACGCACAGCGTCGGCTGCAGCCGCAGCAGTTCCTTGTCTACAGAAAAAGGACGAAGAGGAAAAAGAACAGAAAAAACGAAACCAAAAACCAACATCGTTGGCTGCTGCCGCAGCAGTTCCTTCTCCACCAAAAAAGGACGAAAAGGGAAGGTAACACGAAAAAAAAACCAGAAACCAACCACCACTGGGTTGGTCGCCTGGCGCAAATCGCCCGTACCTCTGCCTCCAAACTCTTCCCCGCAACCCCAACAGTCCCCGAGAACCCCAAGGTCTCCCCCCTTCTCCCTTTATGGGGGCGTGCGTAGCTAGCTTTGAGGGCTTCACCACTCCACTTTCAAACCCCACTTGCCGAAACCAGCCCCAGCCCACCTGGACTCCTCGTCGCTGTCCGTGGCCGACGTCCCGATCGACGGCGTGCTCAGCTGCGACGACCTCCCTCCGATCGCCACCCTCGGCGGGGGGGTGCCGCACCCGCAAGCCCGGGCGCAGACGTCCTCCAGGTCCGGAAAGACGAGCGGCCCCAGGATGAGGTGCTGCGGTCCGGGCTGGCAGGTGCCCCACCGCTGGAATCGGGCCGGGGATGCGCCCCGGAGGGCGGGTTTGGATCGCGGAGCAAGGGTTCGGAACGGCGGCTGCTGTGGGGCGTCGGCCAGGACGGCGCGGCGGAACTGGGCGCCGATCGCCGCCACCTCCGCGTCCTCGGTGTGGTCCTGGCCCTGCGGCGAACGGAGGGGCGCCGGGCGCGTCAGAGGCTGGTCGCGGAAGGAAGGGGACTCCCTCCTCCCCTTTCTTTCCTCCCTTCTGCCCTTGCTTTCTTCCCTTATTTGCCCCCTTTCTTTCTCCTGTTTGTATCTCCCATTTCATTCATCCCCACCTTTCGAAACGAGGGGGAGGGGAGGTAAGGCCGCTATCGGCCCGCGAGTGACACTTCCGGTGTCGGGATTGGATTGCTGCCAGGCGCGGGAGGGGGGTAATGGCGTTTGGCGCCCGTCGAGGGAACAAAGAGGCTCGCGCTGCGAAAAGAGCGGCGACCGAGGGGCCCCGCCCGCGGATCGGTGGCCGCCGGACGGGCGGAACGAATTCGGGGGCCTTGCGCCGATCCTCGAACGGGAGGCGGATGCGAAGCGGGCGGCGGAGGAAGCGCAGGCCGTCCCCGGTCCCCTTGTCCTTGAGCGGTTCGTCGACGGGACTGAGGGGCGAAAAATTCGGCATTTGCGGCGTCGATTCCCCCAAGGGGATGGGTGCGCATGCCCCTTGCCAAGGGGCGCGAACGGCACGGGGCGTCACGGGCGTCACGCGCAGCCCCCGTCCCCCTCTCTCCTCGCCGTTTCCCAATCTGCGAACTGTCACGCCCACGGCAGGGATCTCGAATCGCCCTCGGCGGCGTGTCGCCATTCCCGGCCGTCGTGGGGGCACGCAGCACGCCAGCCCGGGTCCGTTCCGCGGCGCAAATTGGACCAAAACATCCGCAGGCATGGCGCGAGCCCCCCCTCCTTTTTCCCGCTGATGCCCACCTCAGCCGCGCCCCACCGCCACCACTCCGCCGAAACGGCGGCCATCGGCCCCTCCGCCGAATCCTCCCTCCAATCCCGCCCTCCTCCCGCCTCGGATGTCCCGACCGGATTATTCGAAAACCCCGCCTCCGAGATCTCGGGCCCGCGCTCAGAACACCCAAACTCGAATCCCTGCGACAGTCTCTCTCCGCCGCCCAGTGGGGGACGGGCCAGCCAGTGGGCGCGCCGGCCGCTCCTGTGGGCCACAACTACCCTTTGCTGGCCGCTTTAGAACGCGCAGGGCGGAGCCAGAAACGGCGTGCCAGGGAGGGGCAGGGCCGTGGCGGGCGAGGGGACGCGGACAGAAACTGGTGGGAGATATGCTGGCACCGGGCCACCACCCGGCGCCGATGTGGGTGGGATTCGGAAGATTGGTCAACGGATCAGATGATCGGTCAACGGATCTGGTGGCTGGTCAACGGATCGGGGAGGGGGTGGGTCCCTCGGGCACTGGAGAAGCCGGTTTGAGGGTTGAGATTTGTTACACGCCGGAGGCGAAACAGGACCTGGTTCTACCATATTTACCGGTAATAGTATCCGGCCCCCTCTCCGGGGCCCGAAACCACGTTAGCATCCATGGCCCACTATTAATATCCACCGCTCATTTCTGGGGTCTAATATACGCTTACTGGTACCAGGCAAATACGGTAGTTTTGGTGGAATGAATGAAAATCCTCCAAGGCACCGTGAAAAATCGACACACTGGTCATGTCACGTGTCTCTGCTAAACTCAGGTAGTCAAACAACATTCCTTAGCCAATGGTCTATAATGATCTTAATATAATTGGCAGAAACCCCACCCCAACAACATCAAGGAACATAGTGCTAGTATTATTAGAAAAGATTTGTTACACTACAAAGGAAATGGGTCCTGCTGCTGGTAGAACTTGTTATTCCCCTGGAGTGTAATGTGTGTTGCACCCTGTCCCACGCAAGTGTGCGCGTGCCAAGGACGTCAATCACAATTGGGTTGGTTGTGATTGGCCTTGAACCCTTAAGCCCAATCACTATTGAATCAAGCCAGTCAGGGCCCTAACTGTGACTGGCGCACAATGACCCAGGCATTGAACCTGCCCGGCGATGCCTCTGGTTTTGGCTGCCCTCCATCCTCTTTCCCTATTTGGCGCTACACAAAATGCGCTCGCATGTGTGGGGTAGTGTTATACAATCTAGAAGAAGGGAGGTTGCGCATCACTTTATATTGTGACATGGGATTTTGCTGGGACACTGCGCCTGTGATTGATCCAAGCATGGACCACCCCGCCAAAACGCAATGCGTTCAAAATTGGCAGCACCTCCCACCCAAGGCAAAAAGTCTCCGGCAGCCGCCATGTCTCCATGTTGGACCAGGTGAGGCGCAACAACAACGATAGTCAACGTGGTGTCCAAGAGATCCCATGCACTGGCACATGGCAAGCATTGTCCTCATGGCAGCCATGGCATTGGCAACTACATTGCTTGTCATGTTGCTGCTGGGGCTGCAACGACTTTGCCCATGCACTAGGCTTAAAACAAGCAGCATGGCCCTGGCGGCCACATTCTTGGGAGGAAACCGCTGCCCAAATATACTCAGGGTCGCCCAAATATACTTCGTGAGTGTATCCACTGCATTCAGCACTTAGTGCGCGGGTGCACATGCCCCGTACGATCCACTAATTCCGAGGCCCTCCGGTTTGGCCGGCATCCCGCACGGGCAGCGCCAGGCCCTGAGGCGCGTCCCCTCCCCCCCCTGTGCCCAACACACCCAGTCGCGCCGGCACTCCACACAGCCGTGCCGCCAAGGCCAGGCATGGCGAGCGTCGAGGAGTCGACCGCCCAACCGGCGAGATTCCCCGCTGAAGGTGACGCCAAAATCATTTGGACTTTGCCGATGGCTTTGCGGAGGGGCGCCCCGGCTGAATGTCCGCGCCGGTGAGTGCAGATGAGGCGCTTGAGCTCGCGGGGGAGGCGATGCCGGACATGGGCTTCCAGGTGGGTGCGGGGCAGCGGCGCCGAGCGTTTGGGCCTTCGCTCAAACTGATCTAGGAAAGGGAGGGGGGGGCGGGGGGCGGGGGGCCTGCGTGGACAGATTGCCCTCTTTATCCCCCGCAGCGCTCCCAGTGTCCGTGGTCTTGCGTCTGCGCCGCGCTAGCGGCTGATGGAGGCAGGCGGGGGATGTTGATTCGGGCGGGAAGGCGCGTTGAAGGGGAGCGGGGCAGGGTGCGGGCAGCTGGCCGGCAGCCGGCCGGCACCGCGGTGACCGGAGGGATCTTGGAGCTGCGGCGGCCTCCCACCCACGGGGGACTCCTCGCTGATTCGCATCCGCGCCCTGTTTGCCGGCCACGGGAAGGGGCTGTTCGATTTTCACTCCCCCACGTGGATGCCTCAGGCTTTTCCGCGGAGGTGTTCGGCGGAAACCACGGATGCCGCGCCTTGCGCGGGATGAGAAGGTAGCATATGCGCCGGCGGGCAAGCAGCCGCCTTGCTTTGCGATAACTCTTCAGGGGAGGAAGCAGCTTGGCAAAAGGGGCTGGGGCGCGGGGTGGACCTCGCATCAGCGGTGTGTGCTGGTGTAGGCTGTGTCCCTGGCAAGCAGGGAAACGTTGTCGCGCGATGGGGGCCCTCCTGAGCCGGGAAGTGTTTGGGGACCAGGACAGGGCTGATTCAGAAGGCCCCAAGGGCAACTGGCAAGGCACATAACGCCGGGCGGCACGCTTTGGACTGCAATTTGTGTTCAGGGGGACCCTCTCTCCAATTATCGCCCGTCCCTGTAAACGCTTTTCCGCTTCGTATCTATCCCTTTGTTGCCAACACAGAGAACCTAAAAGTGAAGAGGAGAAGCCCAGAACGCTGCCGCGTTGGGTCTCACAGCCCATGGCGGTGTTGCTTCGTTCTGAGTCGCTGCTTGGAATTGTGAGAGATGTGATACTGCCACAGCCAGCTGCCCAGCCTATGTGCCTGTGGCTGCTCACTACTGTCACTGAGTATGCCATCCTTTCAAGCAGAGTGTTGAACCAGTTATGTGATAACTTCTTACATGAGCAAAACTGAGCGAAGTTTCCTTGAGGATTCAAAACCCTTCTTGTTGGACCCTGTGTGCAGGACATCGAAAAGGAACACCTGAAATCGAAGACCGTAAATGAACAAGAAGGCGCTGTTCTTGACAATGAGGCAAGCCATCTGTGCTGCAGGCACTGTTGTTTGATTTGCATCTTCAGGAGTTTGCAAACAGGTCTGCAGGCTACTTGATTTCCTATTCTATCCAGTGGAGAACTGCATTCCCTGAGGTCTTTCGAGTTCCAAGTTGAACGGGGTCAAAGCAGGCCTAAACTTGGCACTTTTGCTGTCAGTCTTGCCAACCTCTCACCACGTGCTTCTTGGCGGCACCTGTGTGATTGGTCCTTGTTTTTGCAGGGCAAAGTTGGGCGCTGACAGTGTGTGTACAGTGTGCGTAGACAGCCAAAGTCCACATCGATGCTTCCTATGTGGCTGAGTGAATTAATGTTCATGCATTTTCTTGCAGTGGTATGACCTCTTGCAGAGGTGTGTAGAAAGTCCAGAGTTTTTGAAAAAGCTGGAGTCCATCTGCACCTTTGCCAGCAAGGGTTCAACAGATGAAGGGCAGGTTCCACGGGAACCGCTTTCGGTGAGTTTGTATACCTACGCGGCCAGATGCCCACATTTCAGGGCAAACTTAATAGAGTATTAGTAGTCAATCTAAGCTGCACACCAGGTGTCCAGGGACTGTGCCCAAGACAGTGACAAGCAACAGTAAGTCTGGCATCTAGTTGAACCCTTTCAAGCCAATGTTGTACTGATGTGGCGGATTGTATATTGGGAATGCTTTTGCCCACATCATTTTATGAAATAAAAGAGCTTCAATAAGACACAAGCATCCGATAACGATCATCAGTATGCCAGATTTTTTGGCTCCTGGCATAAATATATCAGTGCAAGATGAGGACCTTAGCCAGTTTGAGGCTGACGGTCCTCAAACACTGGGTCTCATATCGGATGAGCCAGTTTCAGGACCCTCCAAGTTGCACTGCAGTTGTTGGGCTGCCAGGACTGCGTTGCTTTTGGAGTTCCAGAATTTGACTCTATGTGCTGCAAGTGTTGGAAGTCAGCAGCAAGAAACAGCCAAAGGATAGTATCAGTGCTCAGCTCGGTTGCTTTCCAATGGGTGAGGGTGATACAAAGCACCCCAGTATGGGACAGCAATAGCTTCAAATTGCATCACACAAAACAATCTATGAAGCAAGGTGTGAAGCAGGTCTGTTGCTTAAGTGTTTCTGTGTCTGGAGCTTTTAACCAACTGAACTTTTGGCAACTTTTGGCTTTCGTTTTGTTAAGGTGTTCCTATCTTCATTTGGAACATTGCTGCCTGGTGCTCAAGACATCAAGAATTTGATTGTCGCGTGTGTTTGGCCCACATTGCTGAGCTCCTTTGCTTGGAGTTTGCTCATGCTGCTAACACAAATCCATGGGCATGGAAGGTAACGTGGGGCGATTGTGGCATCACCTTGTTAAACTTACACCTAATTCCCAGTCAGATAAACAAAATCCAAATTTTGGATTTGGGTTGTGACAGATGTCAAATATAGAACCACTACTTGTTTGCAGTCTACTGTTGATCTCCTTGAAACAGGGATGATCGTAGAATGCAGCGCAAGCCTTTGTGTGCACACTGAACATAATGAAAATCAGGTCAACACCACGATGGCGTGTGGGATTGAGTACTGCATGCCTTGCATCATGTTCGCTGCACAATGGATTCTCTTATGTATGCAGGAAGCTGAGATGTTGGAGAGCTTGAAGGACTCGTATGTCATTGTCAGCCGGGAGGACGCTGTCGAGTCGATGGCCCTTATCATCGCGTCCAGTGTCTCAAAGTGCCCAGAAGCACAGAAACTGGCCACCAAGGACCTGCACAGGGCAGTCGTGAAGGCCTGTAAGGTGAGGAAGCAGTCATGTGCCTTTCTGTACAACTGACTAAGTCAGTAGGTCATGTATTCTAGTTTGATTGCTGTGGTCGAAAGTGGTAGGCAGTGCCTTTGCACAAAATGATAAGACTCGAATGTCCATGGTGACAGAGAAATATGGCATAGACCTTGCGTTTCCTGTACCTTGTTTACGTGTGTTAATGCATTGGTCATATTTGTATGTTGTGACTAATATCTATTGTCATCATTATGTATTGGACTTGATGTTGATGGTCATACCTTTCTCTAACAACTGAACAACAACTGGTTGGCTATTATTGACGGGGTTCCCAGTCGTCAAGCACAACCTGAAGCAGATGCACACCCCATTGTCATGTCTTTTTGCTCTGGAGGCGTGTAAAGAATTCGTTCCACCAGGCAAGGGAAGCACATCGTACAATGAACAAACCCAAAGGAAAAACAGTCGCAGGCGTTCTGCAAGGCGACGATGGGCAGACTATTGACAGCATTGCAGCTTCAGGGGCACGTATCCAATACCTCATGCAGCCCACTCTATGGTGGCGTGTGGAGTGTGTGGACCGCAACAAATGCCTCGCCGATGTGAGCATCAATTTATGGCACTCGCCTTTTGATGGAGAACATGGCTCTCTTTTCAAGAAACGCCAAGGATATGCCGACAGTGATGACGCCGTTGTTGCATTCAGGACCTGAAGACCAGCAAATTGAAGTCTGCGTGGCAGTGGAGCAAGTTCTTGTATCGCGCAGTGGCGCTAGGCTACAGCGCCTTCCAAGTGTTTGAGCACCCGTGGCTGGTGCGCGCGATTGCGCGCGCACTGTGGCAGGTCCCACGGACCATGTGGAGCCTGCTGTTCTGACTGCACTGTCACTCTTTGATAAAATTGAAGGCCCTAGTTCTTGTGATTGGCTTCTTCTGTAATGCTTTAAAGATGGAGGCTCTGAAAACACGCGCGCTCGTGGCTGGCCTTGACAGGTCTGCTGCACTCCCTTTGGGTCTGTTGGTGTCAGTGGGGGCAACAGAAGGCGCGAGGGAGGTGGTTGCAATCAGTGGCTCTGTATCGAGCATGATAAGAGCGCATGATGCAAGTGGAGTGCTGGGGACGTTAGGCTCTGGGGACGCTATTTCATTTGGTGGTCGCGCTGTGGCGAGTCATTCTTTGCCAGAGGATGTGGTGGCAGGGGAGTCAGTGTCACCTCGATAGGGTCGCTGCAGGCGCTGCCACAGTGGTGCCAGTTTTGGCCCAGTTTTGGCGCGCCATGTGTGCTGGTGGCAATCCTTGTGAGTAGGGTAGGGCTTTGGTCTCGATTTCCAATCAAATTCTTTGCAATGGGAGGGGGGAGGCGGGAGAGGGGCCTGCTGTAATTTGGGGAGGACGGGGGGACGAACTGGTGCCTGCGGAGAGCAGCCCTCAGATGTTTTAATGTACAGAAGGTGTACAGTACTTGACTGGAAAAGGGGCTTCGCTCCTCCGAGGCGTATGGACTGACTGCTGAATGAGGAATGCTGCCTTTTCTTCATTAAAACGTGACTTTTCGTTCTCGACGCCAAGGCGTTGATTATCCACACGGACCCACAGGTGCCATCCCTTGTGGTGTTGCGATGTCAATACCTGACGAACTAGTGCTCCTGCGCTTCTCAGTTGTTGTGGCGCTGCTGTGGAGCCTGGAAACTAAAGTCGAGGGTACACGTGTTCCCTCTAGCTGCTGTGTGCTAAAGCGACCACAAGAAATAGATATTGTTTGGTTCATTCATGTAGTGGGCGACCGATTGCCCTGCCCATACGGACAGCAAGGATGTTGCGACGCAGTGTTTTCAAAGGTGCGACACCAGCCTCAATCGCATTTTCAATACCTAAAGGGCCAAGGGCGGGCTAGGCAACGAATGTCTCGCACTTGATGTACCCAGCTCGCAAAAGTGGAGCACCTTTTGTGTTGAATGAATGCACGAAACCTTGTGAGTGCCATGTTGCAACTGCGGCGGGAGTCCAGCACGGGACATGGCTCTGGTTCCCGTTTATGCTTTAGAAGTTGATGGCAAGGGTCACAGGAACAGACTGTAGGGGGATGTTGTGCGTAAGAGTAACGCACCGGTTGCATGCCACGCAAGAGCGGATCCATGACGTCACACGGCCAGGATCCGTTGCGGACCACAAATGGCCAAGTTCTTGGTAGATCGTAAACCACGTCAGCAGCTCCTTGTCACTGTATAAAATACATTCGGGCGGCCCACGCACGGTACATCTCTTTTTGGACGTCTGTCGTCGCATCCACATCCCTGCGACTCCTTCATCACACTTCTGTAATGGCTTTATTCCGAGCTGCGCTCTAGCTGCTTAATTGACAGAGTCTATTCCCATTGACTGTCCATGCATTTCATGCCAAGAATTGCCTCATCCTTAAACGCTATCTTAAACGAAAGTGTCCCGCATGAAAAGGTGTTACCAAGGCTGGAAAAACGACGGTCTAAAGTGGTGGACCAGCTCCACGGTGTCCTACCCGTGGTGAACAAGCAGATTGGCGACTGTCCAAATGACGCTGTAGTTACTGTCCTGAAATTGTGGGTGCTGTACACAGAAGGGTGCTGCCAGTACTTGCGGCACAACCTGTGGACTGTGTCGCATTGGTGAAGTGGTCATCAGCCAGCACTCTGCTCCCCAACCAAACTGCCAAATGGCTCGAGACTGCAGTACTGTTCGAGCGACTCGCCGTCCCTTTGTGTACGCGCCTGTGGCCCGAATGGCGTCCAGGGCCCATGGCCGCGCGCGCCTAATATGCGCCCCTGCTGCATTCAGAGCGGCCTGGCGCGACGCTTGGCAAGGGCTGCCTCTCCAGGTGTGTTTGGCGCGCGGTGCATCATCCGGAGGATTGGAAAACAAGCCCAGCCTACTTAGCAATTCATGTGCACGTGCACTGCTCGCAGCACAGTTAGTGACTCTATTCGTTGTGGGTTGTGCTACCAACGCCTCCAATTACACTGATCTCGGAATGAGCGCATTCGCTGTACAACGTGTAAAGAGGGTGGGGGGGTGTGGGTGGGGGGGGGGGTGCGCAGTTTCCGAGCGGCTCTGACGCGTCCGAGCGCGTCGGAGAGCGTCTGCACAGCCCGTGGACGTGTCCGAGAAGCCGCTGAAAAGTCTTCCAAGGCCTCGGACGGTTCCGCGCGTCACCGAACACTCGTAGAGTGTCCAAAGGCGCTTGGACGCGTCTAGGGCATCCGAAGCCTCGGAATACCTTTTAGTAGCCGCTCGGACACGTCCATGCACTGCGCCGGCGCGCTTGGACGGAGGCCTTGGAAGTGAAAGGTGTATGCGCAGACACTCCAATTCCCTGGAGCTCCGGGGAATGCGCGGATGGTTGGAAAGGCGTGCGTGGAACGCTCAGACAGTTTGAGCGTGTCTGTGAAATGCTTGGACTGTTGCCGCGCCATACGCGGAATGTACGGATAGTTTGAGTGCGTCTGGGCATCCCCAATAACAAATGCGAACAGACCGTTTCAAATTGCTTCGTGTGCAGGCTGCCCAGGCCCTACGATCTCTGGCGGAGGAGGACTGCCGATTCTCGCGAGATCATGGTCGCCACGACAACCAAACAAAACAGAATGTGTGGGGGACCACTTGCGCCAAATCATATTTCTGGTTCCGATATTGGATTTGAATTCCACGACATACGAACCGCTGCCCGCTTAAAGCACAAATGCTCTGGAGAAACTCCAGTATTGAACTTTGGAAGCTTGCGGCCTCCACGCTTTGGGCGCTCCCAAGGGTAGGGCTTCTATTCGACTCTCGGAGTTGTTGTTTGAACCATAAGATCCTGTCTTTTGAGAAGCTTTGTGCACTTGTACTCCCACATACGCGGGAATATGCAGATTTTTATGCAGGTTCAGTACAAGGCCAGGCGGCGTGCATGTCGCCTGACTTTGTATCGAATCTGCAATTTCCCGAGCCAGTAGTCTGCTTTTCGTTCAGGATGCACGTACATGTGCCCTTGCATCTAGCACAAGGAACTGTCAAAGCCACCTTGTCCGACATGGGAGAGGTTTCATGCATCAAACTTGACGTGCGCAAGATCGATCAAGCGCTTGATCATATTGCTAGCAGACTAGTGGTAGGAAGTGCCACGAAAGCCATGCTGACGGTTGAAGAAAACAAAATTCTTAGGTCACATAAGATTGCGCACTGGGAAATCTTCCTGCTAGAAGAGGAGAGAAAATCTGTGAAGCGAGGCACTAGCGCTGTTCGGCTTCCGAAATTCTATTAAGTTCATGAACCACATTATAACCGTCGAATTGCATGTTGCAGCCAAAGTGCCAGTGCAAACATGCATCTCTGGCTTTGCTGCACGTTGATGTGAAGGCGTTCAATTGATTTTCTCAAGCTTGCTTCTTGTTGAAAACCTGATACGATTCCAAGCACGCTTGGAAAATACGGCTGGTGCTTGTTCAATTATCCAATGAAACATGTGTTTAAGAAAATAGTGCAAATGCTACCTGGAGAAATATATGGTCATGACTTGCAACACGCACATGGCAACACCTGAGGAGTTAGTCCACTCCCATGGCGCCCATGTGGGTGCTCTGTGGAGGCAATGAGGACCCCATGGTGATGCCGCAGGTCCCCAACATGGCGGTGATTTCGCTAAGTGAAGTGTTTCAACACTTCACACATACCACAGCCCAGAGAGGTACACGCATTTACTGCGGCATCGTCATGGCGGTGGCGTTGAACACCGGTGATGCCATTTAGCCCTCGCCACCGCACCTGGCGTCGACATGTGCTGCGGGAACGTGCCAGACGCCGTGAGGGAGGAAATAATGCGCTCGCGTGATCTCCACCGCAGATTATTTGGACACGGATATTTGGGTCCAACCAATCTGTGGTGCAGATTACGCAAGCGCGTCATCTACTGCCCCGGCATGGATACTGAACGTCTCAATGCATACGTCTGAGAGGTACGCCAATTACATTACAAACAGCTGGTATGATTGTCGGTGGACTCTTGCTGAAGCATGTGCAGGAGGCGGGCAACTGCCAACCTGATGCGCTGGACAGGGTTGATAAAAAATGTTTTCTTGATAAGCTGGCCACGGGCTAGCATGGCGCCAATGATTTGTTGAAGACTGATACTGACTGACTGTATTTTTATGTCAATGCCTTGATCATCTGCAGCCTTTCTTTGCCTTTGGATTGTGTATATCGATGGTGACATCATCGATATATACAGAGGAGGGAAAAACACACTGTATTTTTCCTCCCTCTAACGCTGACAACTGCGACACAAAATAGTGCCACGGCGGGAAGGTTCCCCAGAGAGCATTTCGCAAAATACTCGGTGCTGTCTCTGTCCCGTATTAACTGTCGTCTACGGAAGGAGAAATTCGTTATAAACATGGCATCTAAATTAAACAAAGGAGGCCAGAATCATAAGGATTGAGTTCTAACACTGCAAAGCAATATTCAAGAAGAAAAATTGGGCCCCGACCGCTGTGAGCGTTGGGCGAAAATCTAATATTGGTCGCTTCTGAGCGAAAGAAATTTTCGTTCACCAGGCAGAGGGCTCTTGCCACGAAGTGATGCTAAATCCGCAATGCGTAACTGATGGACTTGTCAAGTCTCAACGAGTTTTGGAGCTTCTCTCTAAACTCATGGACATAACCTTGCATGAAGTTTCACTGAAAACTGACGTCTTTATGGTGGAGAAATAATGCGCCAAAAGTAATAGACAACAATTAATAGGGGACGGAGCAATTAAAACACGAGGACAGCACAGCATTGCAGAGTGGATTTCCCCCACGCCGGCACAAGCACTGGTGGCCCCCTGAACACCAGCGCCCCACCACCACGCAGAACGTGCGCCCATCAGGAAGCCAACCCTATCCACAACAGGGCAGTCCGTCTGTCAGGGCTGCTGCATGGTCGCACCTGCCGCCACATGAGGGTCCGCCCCGAGATTCAGGCGGCCGCAAAAGCAGGCAGCTGGACAACGGGGACCACAATGAGGTCACCGAATCCCGGAATCCAGTCTCGATCGAGCTCGTCAGGTGCGGTTTCATGTGCGGGTTCCGGTCCGGTACAAGTGCCGTGGCCCCGGGGGTCAGGTGCTTCCTCTCGGTGCGAGACCCAGTTTCGGCACCAAGTGCCGCGGCCTCCTCGTGGTCGGGTCGGCGCGGCCACAAAGTCCCGGAGCAGGGCGTCACCGACGGGGCGGGCGCTGCTTCGCGAACAGCTGCCAGGCGGGTGCCACGGCTTCGAGAAGCTGCGGCCTGCGGAAGGTCGGTGATCGGCACCGGCCACCCATTGCTCCAGGTAAGCCTGGGGGATGAGGACCCTCGCGCGTCTTGACGATGCACAACTGTGGTGGCGGACCCTGCTGATCGTGGGATGTGCGTGCAGTGGAGGCGCCATGTGAACGGGATGTACCCGATCTGGTCTCAGATTTTGTCGATGGCGCTCTGACGCCAGGGTTGGAGCACCTGCCTTATAGCTACGTGGCCCAAAGGCGCAGTGTCCGATCGGGTTGGGACGTCTTTGTGTCTCCGAACAAGCGCCTCTGCTGGCGGCCGGGTTCCGCAGCTGCCAGACAGGCGCCGCATTTTGTTGAGCAGTAAAGAAGCGAGCCTGGTTAAAGGAAGGCTGTTGATCGAAGAAGGGGGGGCGGACGTGCTACGCTCTGGAGTGGATTGGCCGATGAGTCTGTATGAAGCGCGTCTGCGGATGTGGGAGTGCGGTGACTGGCACGGATTTCGACCCACGTGCTCAGGCCATGTGCTGATGCGGTGGCGTTGTCGTCAAAGTTGTGGACGCAGAGCGCAATTCCGGATTGCCTGGGACCGCCCTTGCCGCAATGCAGTTCTGAGATCTGCGCACAAGGACATTGATGACTCCCTTGTGCTCGTTGAAAACACCGTCGTTCAAAAAATACTACCCGAGTTGGCGTACCCTTGCCACGCCTCCACTGTTCCTTTGTCTGGCGCTTGATTTTCCAATTTTGGAGTTGCTCCGGCCTTCCAAAGTGAACGCCGTTGTGCTTTGCAGGTCCACATTCCTGGCGCCGATCTTCGTTCAACATTGGTCCCTGCTCGTGCAATGGCCAGCTGATTTTGCTGTCAAAACGACGTGGGATTGCCTCAAGCTGCAAAGGTCAAAAGGTAAGGTGGACGGGTCCGGAACTTGCCACACAGCGGCTTCCCGCCAGGAATTGTGCCGCAACACTTGCGGCATAGCAGCATGGAAGGTGCTTGTGCCTGCGCCGCTGGGAACTCCCGTCACATATGCTGTCGACTTGTGCTTGGGTTTGCTGACATCCGCTTCACTGAATTCTGTTGTTGGCATTCACCGAGGATCGCCTTGTGGGGCTGCACGATATTGTGACGTTGATTTTTCGGTTCAAGGATCGCCGAGTCAACGGCTTTGCTACCGAACCGGCAAGCAACATGCATCCCGTATTTTCTGTTTTTGTTGGCCTTTCGTATTTTTGATGACTGGCGCCATTTCTAGGGCATAGGTCCCAGAGGCTCGCCTTTTGTTGTTGACGTGCTTTTATGGTTGACATGTGCGGCTACGGGGATTGGAAGGATTGATCGAGTTCATTAGCGGAAATGGTCGAAACTGGGACCCCATATGACAATAAATGACGCCTACTGGGCGGCACTGGGACGCCACTAGGACGCTTTCTCTCACCAGGAAGGTGCAAGAAAGCGTCCCAGTGGCGTTCCAGTAGGTGTCGTTTATTGTCGTCGGGGGTCCCAGTTTCGGCCATTTCCACTAGTGGTTGCTGCCACCGTGGCTTTTCTCGCCCCTTGCTGGCCTTGTCTTGTTGACCGCCGTCCTCGCCCTTGTCAAATACTGGATAAGTGAAAAAGTTGGCGCGGGAAAGAGTTTGCACTTCGCGCTCGAGCAACTGCGCGAATTTTCTCCGCGCGAACGTTTTGGGCCGCGAACTTTTTTCGCCAGCGAGCTTTTCGGCCTCGTCCAAGACGAGTGGGGCGCTGCCCGCGCTTTGGCCCATTGGCTTTGCACAACGACGACTGCCCCGTGTGGCGGTCTTGACGAGCAGCAACTACCCTGAAAGAGCCCTGAGCTGACCTGCAGATCGCTCGCGCCAGTGGCCATCGGTCAGTTGAATCTTGGCGGCGAGGAGGTGCTATCTCCGTGACCAGGCGGCTCTATTCTGATCCCAGTTTCCAGTCCTGCGAAAGCCTAGCTGGAGCCCCATCCAGAGACTGCCCCAAAGGAGGCTGATCTGGCCTGCAGATCGCTCGCGCCAGTGGCCATCGGTCAGTCGAATCTTGGCGGCGAGGAGGTGCCATCTCCCTTAGCAGGCGGCTCTGTTCTCATCCTAGTTTCTAGTCCTGCGAAAGCCTAGCTCGAGCCCCGGAAAACGACTGCCCCAATGGAGCCCCGAGCTGGACAGCAGATCGCTGGCGCAGGGATGTCTTATCAGCGGGTATTGCCCGACACAGACGGGAAACACCGGCGCTTGAGAATGTCTTATTCTGCCCCGGCGATGGACATGGTCGAAATCGTCAAGCAGGCGGGAAGGATTGGGAGGCACAGGCGGGGCGTGCCGCTGCTGGTGTTCACGTGCTCGCTGCGGCCAGCTTTCACATGAACGGGGACGCCCGCATTCATAGCGTTGGGGGAGAGCATGCGTCAGGGCCCTGCCGGCATGTTGGCGTGCGTTGGAACGATGATTTCCGTCGCCAGGGACGCTGGGTCGCTGGTATGGGCCGTCACCCCATGCGGCGCCCCCAGGATCGCAGTCAACGCGGCGTCATGGGGCTGGCCGCTGGTTCGTTGCAGGCCGCTCGCGCCATTCGTCTGCTGCAGCCGGAGGGTCAGGACGGCGCCTGGGGGGCGGCGCGGCACAATAGGAAATGGCGCCACCCATGGCGAGGGTCAAGGGTGGCAGGAGGCCCTGTTCTGTATTGTTGGCCCGGCGAAAGTTTTTGCGGGCGAAAAAAGTTTGTGGCGGAAAAACCACCCTACGACTTATGCGTGAACTTTTTTCCCTTGCGAACTTTCTTCTGCGCGAAATAAGCAAAACTTTTCTGCACAAACTTCTTTACCTACACAGTAGCTGCATACTAAACTGTCATTCCATATGGGGCTGTGTGACCTTCACACCAACACGGCAGAGGATTCATGCAGAGTATGATAGCAGTGCTTATGAGCAGTATCTTCCAGCAGTGCAACAGTGGCCATCGGCAGCATTGTAGGGCCATCAGCCTTGCATGGATTGTATTGAGACAGACCTCCAGTCAGTTTTTTTGGTACAATAGCATTTCTTCAGGCGATGAACTGGAAGTCAAGAATGCTTTTCAAGGCTGACAATATGATTGGGAGCAAAACTCTGCTTTTCTCGATGTCTGTGTGACAACCATGTGATATGCACCAGTCGCTGAATTTCCACCTGAATGTGTGTGTGTGGTGCCTTTGGCTCGACCATCCAAGCAGATGTGCTCAAAACTGCAGGCTGTCCTAATTCAGATAGTGGCAGAAATGCCCACCGTTTTTATTATGCGTGGTCTTCCTCTTCCCTGTTGGAATTCATTGGTAGATGTGCTCCAGGGTGCCAATGGTGTTCATGCCAGCCAGAACCCAATTTTGGTCAAACGTGGCTGTGGTGTTTTCAGGGCCTGTGGGTCGCCATCTGAAGGAATGCAGATGGAAGACTTACTGTCAGTCAAGGCAGAGATGGAGGCCGCTGTTGATGAAGCCCAGGACAGCCTGCCACAGGCGAGGTACAACACAGGGATGTTGAAGTTCCTCTGCCTACGGATGAAGGCATTGAGAAGCCTACATCCTGCTGTGCTCACCAGGGTGCTGGAACATTCTAGTCAAGAATACCTGGTCAGTGTGAAAGATGCAGCAGTGCAGGCCTCAGCACTGGTCAAGGGGCACACAAGGCCACTCCAAATTGGCACATATTACAAAGTGGACGACGTTCAGGACAGGGTGAGACAGTTCTGCGAAATAACAGATGCCTGCTTGCCTGAGTTGGGCATGGAAGCTGTTGGGGGAGAAATAGAGACAGAACTAGCTGCCGCCTGCGAGAAGGATATGGAGTACATGCACTGGTACCTGACTTGCATACTGGAAGGAAGTGATGCTGGCGCTGACCTAAAGCTGTCTGAGGGGGAGTTGCAGGATTTGAAGGAGTTAATTAACAGTCAGAGAGTTCGAATGGAGTTTGTGAACAAAATACAAGAGGAAGACATTGAGGCAGCAGAAGACATCGGGGAGGGGGGCTTTGGAAAGGTGGTGAAGGCCCGCTGGAATGGTATGGACGTTGCTGTGAAAAAAATGATGAAAGAACTCAGCCCAGAGGCGCAGGCGGAGTTTTACCACGAGGTCGAGCTGCACATTCGGCTGAACCACCCACATGTTGTGCGCTGCTATGGGGCGATCTCATCCAGTGCCATTGTGATGGAATTGGCGTTGGCCAATTTGGAGCAGCTGTGCTGGGGAAGCGACTGGACCTGGGGCCAGAAGGTTCTGTTGATGCTGGATGCCTGCAAGGGGCTGGCGCATCTGCACAAGTCTGGTGTTGCGCACAGGGACATCAAAACATCCAATTTCTTGGTGTTCAAATCCCAAACAGAGAACAAGTATGTTGTGAAGATTTGCGACTTTGGGCTTTCAGTGGCGAAAGCAGAGACACGGTCAAAGACAGGGCGGCCACGTCAAGGAACTCGCTTGTGGATGGCCCCAGAGGTCATTCGTGGTGCCCCACACAGCTTTGAATCTGACATGTTCAGCTTTGGACTGGTCCTATTTGTGCTTGCAACTGTGTCACCGCCCTACAGAGGGATAACTGAACCGGCAGCAGATTTGAAGAAGGAAGCTGGCAAAGACCCTTGTGTCATCCCAGAAGATTGCCCCAAACCACTGACAGAGCTTATGAGGCGCTGCATTTCGCCTGCATCCAGTCAGCGGCTCACGATTACCGAAGCTGAGAATGAGTTGGAGGCCATTCTAAAGTTCTACCTTCCAGAGGTGGGTAATTAATGCTTCCATTGTAGACACACGAATCATGTTGCCCACTTTCCACTTTCAGTGTGCTTGTTCCCACTACTGTTGGGAAGAATTATATCATCGGTACACATCTGATGTTAGTATGATTGAATCTTACCAGTTGCTTCAATGGCATTTGTAGATGGATACTGCTTGGCAGCAAGCTTCCTATCAAGAGGTAGGAACCAGTGGGGCAGCTAGAGCAAAGAAGGGACTCCGTTTGGCATCCCCAACCGAGATGGGAGACCAAGGTATGTATAGGACATCCTCAAAGGTATAACGTTTATTAGGTGTATGCATTGCCTTGCAGCTGTTGCTGTTATCGTCACCATTGTGTTGACCTATGCTACTACTTGTAGCTTTCGTTTCTGTCGTAGCTCTTTTGTGCAGCATGCAAGGTGCACTAAGTTGGAGCCAAAAAGAATCAAGCGTGTCGTTCTGTGGCCATCCTACCATGGGCAAAGATTGTCAATGTTGCGCCCAAAGCCAATTGCTGGTGTGACCTGGGCCAGGTCCACATGAAAAGAGGATGTGCCCTTGCAAGACAACACCTGACATGTATGACAGGTCTGCCATTTGTGTATGTTGCCCTCCATCGGAAGTGCTGTTTTCACCTCCATTTTCCTTACCTATTGGTTGTCTGGGCGATCCTCTGCAATTGTTTGGTGGCCATGCTTTGTCTCACAACACAGCAGGAGCTTGTGGCCCTGTATTCAATTTTGTTTCTTTGTTTCTTCCTGGTAGAGCCCAGTGTTGATAACTGATGCGTCTTGACAACTGCAACCCAGTGCAATTGAAGATTGTATGTATGCTGTATGCATTTCACCTGCTTTGTCAATGTCATGCTCGCTGCAATACTCATCCATCTGTTGGTCGTTAAGAATCCTGCAAAAAACACCAAAACCATTGGTCGCTACCATTGCCCCAACTTGCGCAAGGGGCAGTTGCATCTTCATCACTCCATCGGCCCCTTCTCTGGTGCAACCTAGACCAGTGCGGTCTACGTGGTCTGTTGAAATCGCACTGCATCGTGTGCTCACAATAAGGAAGGAGTTGACGGGGGACGCTGCCACTCGATGATTACTTTTGCCCGGGATAGAGCTCTTGTCCTTGTCATTTGCTTTGCGGTTTCTGTGAAGCAACTTCTATCAGCCCTGCCAGTACGATAGGCAGTTGGCAGCGGAACAATGCACACATCTGGGCCAATGTCATCAAGGAAACGGGGCAATTCTTGGGGTGCCCACAGGCGATCAGACAAGCTGTTGTTCTGTGTGCAGTTGGCCAGTGTCACCCCCTGGCAGGTTGCGCTAATGTCCCAGAGATAGGGAAGGACGGCTGCCCACAAGCCGCACAGGTGTAAATGCTATCTGGTGTATGGCCAATCGCCATTTGGTCTATGGTTGGTAGCTGTCTATGGTCGATCGCCGATTCCAATATGCTAACAGCAGAACTGCGCAACACTCCATGGTCAGTTGTGATTTACTGGCAGCGACCACTGTCCGGCTTTCAATCAACATCAAATTTACATTGACATTTGTTAAAAGGGCGTCTGCCAGGTGCCCAATCGCAGTGATTATGTTGACCACCACTGTGCGTGCAGTGCATGATCTTTGCAGTATAATCAACGGATCGTGTATGCCCATGCAATCCTCAAAGCATACTGGAAGGCAAAGCATATTTCTAAGTTAGCATAAACACCCATTTTGTTGTCTCCTTTGGAAGTACTTTGCTTTTGCTGCGGCTGATGGTGTGCTCACAATAATCTTTGAAGCATATGGCGTCTGGGTATTTTGTTGCACCTCCAAAAATTATGGCTGTGGGATAACAACAATTTTGGAGATGGCTGGGCTCACAAACACCCATAACAGTGCATGTTGTGGCTGGCTCATACTGTCAACGATCTTTGCTAGTGTCAGGAAAGCCTGTGAATGGTGACCCATACATCTGTACAGCACATTTCCAGTGAGCACTGGCACCCTTCAAGAATCTCCTTGAGGCTGGAGGAGTAGCCACTGATGCCCTTCCAAATGATCGAAATTTAATCACGGAAAGTACCAGTGTGAGGGCAGGAAGGCAGTTGCTAAATAATGGTTGATGGGTGAGAGTATTAGGCGATCAAAAGATGGTCCCATATCTACAATGGTGGAGTTTTGTTCCAAGCTGGGGTGGCTCCCAAAGTTTGTTGCCCTAATCTTTTTGATCCTAGTATTGCTTTTGCTGTTGGTCCAATTCCATGTCAAAAGGATCGTTTGCATCATATATATTTGCAACATAATTTCCGTATTTTCCATTGTTTACATTTATTCCATCCCAGGGATGAGGAAAGGACTTGCTTTGGGAAATACAGTTACATGCTGCAGTGTATTTAGGAACTTATTGACATGCCCAACGACACACCTAAAAGTTGCCCTTGTGCATGCAATTTGCTGAATGTCAAGGTAGCAGATCGAACAGGCATGTCATTTGTGAATGACTTGGCATTGTGTCTTGTTGTGTTCAGCTGAGGAGCAAGTGAAAGGGCTAAGAATGAAGCTGTCACGGGTGGCGACTGCCAAATTCTGCAAGCAAGTCCGGGGGCCTAGCATAGCTGTCTGCATTCCCACACAAGTGGATGCCATTGGACAGAAACAAGATGTGGCAATGGTCAAGAAGATGCTGCTGAGCGGCAACACCACATATGTGGCCATCATCGGCATGGGTGGGGTTGGCAAGACCACCCTTGCCCGATGTCTGATCCACGACAAAGATGTGATGAAGAGGTTCCGGAAAAATACAGAAAGATGTCTTGGTGTGGGGTTTGTTACCATATCGCAATACCCTGATATGTTGGATCGTCTGAAGAAAATATGGGAATGTTTTTTTGGAGAAAAAGAGGAATTTGCCAATGTTGAAGAGGGTAGATGGAAGTTGGAAGCAAAGTTGCAAGACAAAACCTTTTTCCTAGTGATGGACGATGTATGGGATGAAACTGACATGGTTGGGCTTGATGTTGCACCGCCAAACAGCCGGGTGCTAATAACTTCGCGAAATGACAAAGTTGCACGTGTTGTGGTAGCTCAGTGCTATGATGTGACGCCTTTGGACAATGAGGCATCCCATCAACTGTTTTGCAAGCACGCATTTGATGATGGCATGGCCCAAAAATGGCAAGAGCGTTTCATCCCCGCCATCGTCGAAAAATGCGATGGACTTCCCCTTGCATTGGAGATAATGGGAAGGGAGGCTCGGTCATTCAAAGAGCGACAGCAATGGCGTGATGCAGTGGAGATCTTGGCAGAAACCGAGGTGTTGAGGAATCAAGTGTTTGACCATGTGTTTGGTTTGAGCTTCAACAGGATGCATTCTGTGCACCAGGAGGTGTTGCTGGACATGGCTATGCTACCTGAGGACTACCAAGCAAGGGCTACAGACATGGTTGAGTTGCAACTCAGCATTGGATTGTGCGCTAGGGAGCATACTGCACGAGAAGTTCTCAGGACTCTGGCGGACAAGGCATTGTTGAGGCAGGATGGCAACGATGTTTCTGAAGTGCCAGAATTTCAACGATCTCGCTTTGGGGTCCGTTACTACTTGCATGATGTCATCCGTGAAAGTGCTCTGCACACCATCGCCAAGAAATCAGTGTTGGAGCGGGAAAGGTTGGTGTCATCACATCTGAGACAGGGCACTTGCAGGGGTCAGGCACTGGTGGCGACAAAATTTTCTACCAGCCAGAGAATAAGTACTGACCAGGCGTGGGCCTTGCAGGAGCTGGAGATGCCAGAGTTGAAGGCTCTCATGTTGCGGGATGCAGGGATATCAGAGCTGCCACCATCTCTTTTCACTGCTCGGTTGTTGGCAGTTGACCTAACATCTTCGGGTATCGCTGAGCTGCCATCTGAAATATCGTGTCTCCAATCTGCAAAACTGCTCAGGCTGGATTACTGCGATAAGTTGGTGCGCCTTCCAAGTGAAGTGGGTGGAATGTCGCAGTTGCGTGTGCTGTCCATGAGGGAGTGCAAAAGCATCTACGAAATCCCAGAATCCTTGGGGAACCTGTTGCTGCTGACCAAGTTGCTTATTCCAGAATGCGGAATTGTATTCTTGTGCTGCCCTGATGTGAAAATGTGGCGCAACTTGACCATGTTGGATTTGAGCGAATGCACGGCCCTCAGGCAGTTGCCATCAAATATTGGAGAGTTGGTGAGTTTGACTGCCCTAAACTTGGGTGGTTGCATCCAATGTGCATGCTTGCCAGATAGTATTGGTCAGTTGGGACAGCTCGAAGTGCTGATTTTGCACAAATGCTGCAGCCTCACAGAACTGCCAGACGCCATGGCCAACCTTGCTAATATGCAGGAGTTGGACGTCCAGTGGTGCCCACGGCTGGCGGGCATCCCCAATACTATTGGGAGGGGCTGGTCGATGCTGAGGATTTTGAGGCTTCAGGGAAATAGCCACATGACTTTTCCAGAGTTTGTTGAGGATTTAGAATGTCTAGAGGTGTTGGGACTTGATAAGAAATGCGCGATTCCTGCTGCTTTCAAAGGGAGACTTGAAGATCAGAAAATAGTACTGGAGATTAGCGTGACGGAGCTGTGTGAGGACTGCGCGGTGAGTAATAATACGCAACTGAAAATCGGCTACTGGCTTGCAGCTTAATTTTTCAAAAGCATGGTATCCTTCGGGCATGACATATGTGGTGATAAACACTGCATGTGGCGCAGGGTGACTACATTCCTCTTCACTGGGGTGCACAGAATGGCATGGATGAGATGGTCAAGTTCCACTTGAGTGAAACAAATGTGGACTTGGAGGACTTGGTAGGTGCTGGGGAGCCCTGTAGTTGCATGATGACCACATGTGACACTTACTTTGCACAGAACAGTGTATTGCAGGATGTTGGGGCCAGTTACGGCAATGCCACAAATGACTGCATGCAAACATCTGGCTCTGATCCAACACTGAGAAAGATGTAATTGTGGCTGGTGCTGTGTTTGATGTTCTTGCAATGTTGCTGAATTGTCTATTGCACCAATGTCTGCTCCCTTGCCCTGAAGAAAAGTGCCATAGTTGAGGGTGCATCGTGTAAAAACTGGAAATGAGCTGCTTGTTATTAGCATTGAATATTAGGCCAGCTGCAAAAGCCCCAGACTGAGACTGCACAGCGATGGGCATCCTGATTGCACAGCGACCCAAATCCAGCCGAGCAAGGACCCTGGGAGCAAATGCTTGGTACAATGGGCAGAAGTGGCAGCACAGCTGCCATCGTCAAGAATTCTTACACAGTGAGGCAAAGAGGTAGCCATCGGCTCTCTACTCCACCCAAAGCAGCAGTGTGCATGCTTTATTATATGAGAACCCTAGACATTTCTGCTATGCAAACGACCTCCAAAGTTATTTAATAAGGGTCAGACATTCATGAAGTTCCTGGTTGTCCCACAGTGGCAAGTAATTTAGACAGTGCTGAACCCAGTGTAATGTGGTCTCAAAGGCAGCTGGCATTAGAATGTGCACAGGGGACGCTACCTTCAGTGTGTCTCAGAAGGTTGTGAGCTTTGGCTGCTTTTCAAGAGGGGCGATCGCCACATGCTACAACATTGAGGCTGCGCCTCATCACAGTGACGATCCCAGTCCCAAGAAGGATTGCCCTTGATGGTCTCTGGGGCCTTATCCGCATTGTGCCCATCTGTCATGCACAACATCTTTATGCCAGCCCTGCCAGAAATCAGTTACTGGCAGCTCTGTGGGACAGAGCTGATCGATGCAAAAAGCGCATGTTTGCTGGCTTTGCCAGTGCCTGCCTCCCAGGGAAATCCAGTGCCCTCCAGCACCAACATGTTCTGCCTGCCCATCCAGCCCAGGTTGTTCTGCCCAGGCACTGATCGGCCAGTTGGCTCATTTGCCAATCGCATGCATTCAAGGCAAACCAGTGCAGGCAGCGTCCCACTGCCATGCACTGGTCTACTTTCGGTGACAGCAACAACGCAACATACCAGGTTAGGTGTAGTGCACGATGAGTGCTTGCGGCTGGGTCCACATCAAATGTGGCATTCATGCATATCAGGGCAAAATGACACCAGATCAGGGCCAGCAGCCATCTTTCTCCAGCCGCAGCTACCAATTGCCCGGCAGTTTAGTGGATTTTGTAACATGGCCATGACTAGACAGGGAAAGTGTTAACAAGAGCAGTGCAAACAAAGGAAAAATGGGGAAGTCTAGTGGCACATTTGACTACATTATTCCCATGCTATATTCGGAAACGATAACAAACACAACAAATGCACAGCATGGGGCAGTTTTTGAGGCATTAGCATGCAAATGACCTTGTGCCAATGATATACTCACCCAACAAATAATCTGTATGTTCAGTAGCAATGGGCGTCAATGTGGTGCACGTGATGCGCAACCCTCATAATTCTGGTTGAAAGCAGTCATGCCATCACTGTTGGTCTGCTATGAGAGCCGAACGCATCAGGCTGTGGCAGATGTTGTTGCCTACACATTTATTCAATGGCACTCCTGAATGTGCTTCTGTGCAAGTTTGGTGGTGCAGAATCCGATAATGAAGTCCAATTCTTGATTCGGACCTGCATTCAAAAAGGCCAACCATCGCTCGAAAGAATATGCTTGCAATTCTACTCGACACATTGGTTGAGTGTGTGAGCATGTGTGGCACCGGCATGTGGATCGCGTTTTGCTGCAGGACACACGCTAGTGATCGGCAGACAGCTTGTATGTTCAATGTCCTGAGGCGTGCATATGGTGCCTGTGATGCGCAGATTTCCTGGACGGCCCTCATGTATGCAGCTGGCAGCGGTCACACCAGCACCGTTGACCTGCTATTGAAACACAATGCGTGTGTAAACCACATTGACGAGGTGAGATGGCACTGCCTACCCTCTTTCTTCAACAGCACTCCCGAATGTGCTTCTGTGCAAGTTTGGTGCAGAATCCAGTGGGGAAGGCCAATTTTTGATTTGGACCTGCATTTGGAAAGGCCAATTATCGCTCGAAAGAATATGCTCGCACCCTTCTCCCTGACACGTTGGCTGTGTGTGAGCATGTGTGGCACCGGCATGTGGATCACCTTTTGCTGCAGGATCCGTGCTGGTGATCGTTAGGCAGTTCGTATGTTCAGTACTGACACTAGTCTCCTGAGGCGTGCATGTGGTGCTTGTGTTGCACAGGGAGGCTCAACGGCCTTCATACGGGCAGCTGAGGGCGGTCACACAAGCACCGTCGACCTGCTATTGAAACACAATGTGTCGGTAGAACAGAGAGACGATGTGAGAATGCATTGCTTATCCGTTTCTTTAACAGCACTCCCGAATGTGCTTCTGTGCAAGTTTGGTGCAGAATCCTATAATGAAGTCCACTTCTTGATTTGGACCTGCATTCGAAAATGCCAATTATCGCTCGAAAGAATATGGTTGCTATTCTCCTCAACACATTGGTTGTGTGTGTGAGCGTGTGTGGCACCAGCATGTGGATCACTTTTTGCTACAGGACCTGTGCTGGTGATAGTCAGGCAGTTCGTATGTTCAGTGTCCTGAGGCGTGCATGTGATGCCTGTGGTGCGCAGTACGGCTCGACGGCCCTCATGGCGGCAGCTGGCGGCGGTCACACCAGCACCGTTGACCTGCTATTGAAACATAATGCGTTGGTAGACTGGGCTACCTTGGTGAGATGGCATTGCCTATCCTTTTCTTGAAAGGCACTCCCGAATGTGCTTCTGTGCAATTTTGGTGCAGAATCCTATAATGAAGTCCACTTCTTGATTTGGACCTGCATTCGAAAAAGCCAATTATCGCTCGAAAGAATATGCTTGCAATTTATTCCCGACACGTTGGTTGTGTGTGAGCGTGTGTGGCACCGGCATGTGGACCACGTTTTGCTACAGGACTCGCGCTAGTGATAGTCAGGCAGTTCGTATGTTCAGTGTCCTGAGGCGTGCATGTGGTGCCTGTGATGCGCAGTACGGCTGGACGGCCCTCATGGAGGCAGCTTTGAAGGGTCACACCAGCACAGTTGACCTGCTTTTGAAACACAGTGCGTCGGTAGGCCGAGCCACCGAGGTGATATGGCATTGCCCACCCGTTTCTTCAACGGCACTCTCGAATGTGCTTCTGTGCAAGTTTGGTGCAGAATCCTATAATGAAGTCCACTTCTTGATTTGGACCTGCATTCGAAAATGCCAAATATCGCTCAAAAGAATATGGTTGCAATTCTCCCTGACACGTTGGTTGTGTGTGCGAGCGTGTGTGGCACCGGCATGTGGATCACGTTTTCCTGCAGGTCCCGCGCTGTTGATCATCAGGCAGCTCGTATGTTCAGGGTGCTGAGGCGTGCATGTGGTGTCTGTGATGCGCAGGACGGCTCGACGGCCCTCATACGGGCAGCTGGGGGCGGTCACACCAGCACCGTTGACCTACTATTGAAACACAATGCGTCAGTAGACCAGGTTGACAATGTGAGAATGCATTGCTTATCCGTTTCTTCAACAGCACTCCCGAATTGCTTCTGTGCAAGTTTGGTGCAGAATCCTATAATGAAGGCCACTTCTTGATTTGGACCTGCATTCGAGAACGCCAATTATCACAAGAATATGGTTGCAATTCTCCCCAACACGTTGGTTGTGTATGTGAGCGTGTGTGGCACCGGCATGTGGATCACGTTTTCCTGCAGGGCCCGCGCTGTTGATCATCAGGCAGTTCGTATGTTCAGTGTTTTGAGGCGTGCATGTGGTGTCTGTGATGCGCAGGACGGCTCGACGGCCCTCATACGGGCAGCTGGCGGCGGTCACACCAGCACAGTTGACCTACTGTTGAAACACAATGCATCGGTAGACCGGGCTACCAAGGTGATAGGGCATTGCCTATCCTTTTGTTCAGCCGGTGTGCGAATCTGGTGCGAAATCCCTTCTTTAAATCCAACTGCTTGGGCTTGCACACCAAGAGGTGATATCGCTTTCAAGAGTTTCTCATCATCATCTTCAAAACGTCTGCGTCTGCGAGCATATGTGGCTTGGCGTGTTGATTAATTTTTGCTGCATGGTAGTCAGAGCTTTTTGCTTTCCTAACATCCACGCACTCACGAGTACTGAACCCACCATGTTTCTGTTAAATTGTTGTTGCTTCCCCCAATTGCTGTGGCTCCCACTTTGGCCTTGGGATTTGTGACCGCAATTTTGTTTCAATGCTTTTCAGGATGGCCTCACTCCCCTTATGATGGCTGCAAAGCGTGGCCACCATGCAGCAGCTGAGTTGCTACGGAGGCATGGAGCAAGCTCGGCCTCTACTGACAAGGTCACATAGCTAATGCCGCATTTGTCATGTGCAATGTACTGCTCAACAGTGATGGATGTAGTCCATACCAGTAAGCCTCTTGTTGCGCGTTTGCTTTTTAAATCCAAGGCAAATCTATTTTTTGGCAGAATTTTATGTGTTGAATGATTTTTTCAATTGGTCTGGTCAGCATTGTGTCCTTGGCACTTTTTGTTTTGGCGTGGTTGCCAATTCCATTGTGCGATCGGGCTCAGAAATTTGCACACTTTGCAGTGGGCATTCTAGCCGGGCGGAGTTGTGTGCCGCAGCTCGCTTGTGCACGCTATCCATCCAAACGCCAGCCTAACCAAGTCGATTGTCAATGCTGACGCTTGGCGTCTCGTTGTAAGTCATCCACCCCGCTGAGCGAGGTTTCACTGTTTTGTTCTGTTCAGGATGGGATGACTGCAGCAGAGCTTGCAAGCGCTGCGGGGTATCACCACCTGGCCAGAAACCTGTGCGGCGCTGGCTGACGCCAATGGCCATTGCGTTGACCTCCAAGTGTTTTTCAAGTGTTTCTCGTGCTCACAAGGCGAATGGCAGCTCTTGTAATTCAAAGATTAAGAAGAATAATTCCATCAGAATTGATTCAAAGAATGAGTTCAAGGGTCTTTGGGTGGTCACCCAGCGTGCTTGGATATCAATCTCTCAGCTATGGGTGTTTATCTCCTGGCCCTTTGTCTGTGTGAACACTCTAGAATGAGAGGTGCATAGCGTGGGTGTGTGGGCGGCTTTTGGGGGCCCTGGCGGTGGGGGGTGGGCGGGTGGATGGAGTGTGGGGAAGGAGACCGGGGAGAGCATTGCATGACAGCATGGTGGAGGCGCGTCACGAGCATGAAGATTACAAAATAGTGTCAATCCAAGTCGTGTTGCTTGCACTTGCGCCATGAGCGGTGTTGGTCCATTCATATGGTCCTGTGGTGATTGAGCTTGAGGTATGCTGATGAATGCACTTGTCTCCCTTGCATCGGCAGCTGCGATGCTCAAGCTGTCGAGCCAGTGGCTGCTGGTGCGCGGTTTTATGTTTGTTAGCAAGGCAGAAGCTGGGTGAAACACTGCAAGAATGTCAAGACTGGAGTGCTGCGTTCCCAAACACGCGAAATGGGCATTTTGATTTCGTTGCATCCCGTCCAAGACTGCCCATGTTGTTTGTTCATGCACTCAAGGGTAAAAGGAGGGGCTCAGTGGCCCCACGCTTGGCACAGCTATAAAACACTGATATAAATGCATGGCTTGCGTGGGCAATGCTGTATTGCACAGCCCTCAGGAAGTGGGAATGCCCGTGTTGCCATGTTTTATGCGATCTAGGATTCAACTTTAGTTCGTTGATTTTTCTCGTCGACGTTTGCAAGGAGCTCCCAGGCAAGACATGTTGTACATTCTGAGGAACAGTCATTTGCACGCCACTCCGCACATTGCCCCAATGCGCCCAGCTCAAGACCGAAGTCCTCTGTGGCACTTGTGCTACCATTACTATATACACTTGCGCTGCTCATTGGACTGGTAATTCGCCTGACAATGCGCGACGTGTTGGACGCCTTTGTGCTGGTCGTATTGCCAAGTGGCGTGTCAGTTTGCCTTGAAGGCGACTGAGGCATGTGTCAGGCGCACCCCTCCCCCCCGGCACTCTCCCTGCGCATCCCTTTGACCACAGGTAGGTATCTTGATCGAACATCGAGTCACTTGTGCGTTCGGCCTGGACTGCCATGTATGGCGGATTCAGATCATTAGTCATCGACTTGACGAGCATCTCCGGGTGCAGAACTCCCTCTATCGAGCTGTTCACCCACAGCACCGCCTCCAGTCCTTAGCTTGTGGAAACTCTTATCGTCAATATTCACCTCCAAACCTTGGAAACACGAAAATCTCTGAGTCGACTGCCAGCGTAGAATCTACTCATAGTGCGGGGCTGAGCGAGAGACATGCCGTGGCGAAGAAGCGAGTTGCGAGGTCTCCACTTCTTTTGTGACCATTGAATCTGCTGTGAGCATGGCAGCGCAGCGCGCTTTGTTCCGGGTGGACGTCCAAACTACAAGGCAAGGGATTAGCAATGTATGCAAAGTAGTACGACGTCACACAGGACCCATGAGTCGTAGGAGACGATCCGGGCCGCTGTTGCAATATCGCCAAATGAGATGGCACCACGAGCCGCTTGCGCCGCTTTTCGGAATGGCGGTTGTGCCTTTCCACAGGGTGCCTGTGTGTGGTTGCGTACGAAAAATGGTGTTTCTGCATAACTGCAGAGATAGCTGGATGACGCGTGGTGTCAGTTTCGATCTCCTTGGTTGTTGTAATTTGATTATCGCTGAAGTAATTAGACCCCAACGGAAAGACACTACTTAGAATTTGGTACGCTTAGCGTCTTTTGGACGTCAAGGGGTTGGAGGTGGGGGATGGGGTCCCGACCTGTAACGCCAAGAGAATATGCAATTGTCACAAATACGACATGAGGTGGTAAGACACACAAAAGCGCTACTGATCAGCGCCAAAAACTCACGGCTTGTTCCAAAACCTCCATCAATTTGAATGAAGGCACCCAAATACCTCAATAGGCAGCCATCAATGCAAACCTAATCACACGCAATAGTCATTAACATCTCGTTTTGCATTCCAGTATAATCTTTGGAAATTTGGCTGTTGATGTTCCTTAAAAACACCTTGATATTATGTAACGTCATTACGTAGTATTGATGAGCCGTAATGGCATCGATATAAGGGTGGACGGTAAGAGGGGGGTGCTGCAAAAGAGAAAGAGAAACAGGTCATACAAAGGGCAACCCATCCTAGGTAAGTGTATGTGTGAGCTTTCCCAGCCATGAGAATTTGGTACAGAGCTTCCAATGCAAAGATGAGTACACAAGACAAGCAAGTCATATGCAAGAAAGCATGCACTCAGGGTCCCCGTATGAAATGTGGAGAATGTGCGGGATGTCAACTGCAATGTAAGGCCTCCGAGGACCTGCCCTTGCACCCAAGACCTCGATATTCAACTCCTGCCAAGGTCACAAAGGGAAAGCTCCTGGCAACCCCGGGCAACCCTATATGTCCCGTTACAGGTCCAACATGCATTTTCTAATATTAGTATTATTAACGAATCGAAGAAGACTTGAACAGGTAGCATACCCCAAATATCCAAAGTACGAAAGCCCCGCAAAGTGCCTCAAACCCAATAAATCATGCAAGAAGCGCAGCCTGTCATCCCAAAGCCCCAACGAACCAATCACTGTAATGATTTAATGTTTATCACTATATTCACTATTTATCACTATATTATGATACATCAGAACATCAGTCACACTCAGCTAACCAGACTGTCCCAAGGAACTGAGCAAGAAACCGTCCACGTGACCGCAGAATGTACTCCCAGTGTGAGGGCAACGACCAGCACTTCAATGTACTCCAGTAGTTGGCCTCAATGCCCCATGTTATTATTACACGAATAGCCAAAAGATTGGGCGCGGGGAATAGTCTCTGGCGGGGGCACGTCTGAACGGGCAGGCCAACGGCCTTGGGGACCGGCGGTGAACGAATGGAACATGAACGGACAAAGATGATGTTGGCGGCAAAGCCAGGAATAAGTTCAATCACCCTGTTTCTGGCATGACTCTTGAACTGCGATGCCGGACATGAATACGGCTGCCCCCCACTTGTTTTGTAATCTTGATTTACAGCCTGTCTTGAGACCCCAAACACCACAGATCCGGCTTAGAGTTGCCATCAAGGCTCCGTGGCTCCTTGCAGCTGTTTTTGGAGCCCTCGATTCTGCTGACTGCGAGGCGGCATTGGAAGTGATCCATAGAGTGAAGAACTACGGCGGTAGCAAGAACTGTTGAGGGGCAAAGGTCACCACGAAGAACAAAGAGACCGTGTGACTTTCGTCAGCCCAAGAAGGTAGTTTGCAAACAACAAGATGATGGGCCAGAGGGACTAAAGTGCTCTAAAGTGTCACAAGGGAGAATGATGGGAAAGCACTGCAGAGGCGGGGAATGATTATGCACGATGTGAGGGGGGGACCACAGTGGCGTGGAATACAAACACGTTGCCGGGCGACAGTACACGAAATGGGCCTGTATAAGAGCCTGCAGAATTGGACAGAGTACGACAAGATAATGTTGGACTACAAGGAGTGTAATGAAGCAAGGGCAAAGAGTGAAGCCCAACAAGATACACAGAATGCAGACGAAGGAGCCAACAACTGCAACCAAGTAACAATGAAACAATGAAGAGGATGCGACAATGAGAAGGAAATCTGCTCACATTTCATGGGAATGTTGGGTGGACAGAAACTACGAATCAGTCAATACTTTTGTGAGGAAAAGGCACTCGCTGCAAAGAAATGGGGGAGACACAAGCGCTGCACATGGCGGACGGCTCAGCACGACATGAGCCCGAACATGAAGCGAACTCCCACAAACTGCAAACCAACAAGTTTAAATATCAGCCTACGTTCTAAGCGACGACGCTTGGAGGACACGACGCAATTTCGGAGGCCAATAGACTACAAGTCAAGCACTTGACCAGAATATTGGCACTGTATATAATCAGAGACGTCGATGACAGCATGCAAAAGATTGACGCAATTACCCTGTCTGGCAAAGGGCTGTCCCAAGCTCTAAAGAAAGGAGCGAAGACCTACGTTGTGGTTGTGCGTAGTGTGGGCGATTAAACACCATTGAAGGGCAACCAAGAGAGCCGCATTAGGGATATGCTACGACAAGGATTTCCTGATTCAGGAAAGGCCCTTTGACCTCAGAGGTCGTGAGTGACAAGATGCTGTTGGGATTACCACTGAAAGTAAGACCGGAACACAATATTGTATTACTGCCTGACGCCACACCCGCACACGCCACAACTTACTAACTCTCTCCCAAGGAAAACGACGAACTGAAGCAACAAGTTAAGGAGCTACTATATGTTGGATTGGTTCTACATAATAGTTTGCCATGGGGAGCAACAGTGCTATTCGCAAAGAAAAAATAGGAGACTGCAAA